CTCCAAGAGCTTCTCTACCCATGATGAGTTCTCTTCCTGTATTGTCTGGTCCCAGTTTGGCGTTCATATCTCCTATTAGTATTTTAATGTCGCCAGCTGGAGTATTGTCTATTGCTGCCTGTAGTTGTCTGTAAAATTCTTCTTTCGTTTCGAGGTCTGCGTTGTTGGTGGGTGCATAACATTGGATTATTGACACTTTTCTTCCTTTGGAGTTGAATCTGGCGGTCATTATCCTGGACGAGATCGCTTCCCATTGCATCAGGGCTTTCGTTGCCGTTGGTGACATCATGATAGCCACGCCCTCGGTGTGCGTGTGGTTATCCTCTGGGTGACCGGAGTAGATCACTGGCTCTCCCGTTGATAATTTGGTGAGTCCACTTCCATTCCATCTGCTTTCACATATTCCCAGCACTTGGATTCTGTATCTTTTCATCTCGCTGGCGATCTGGGCAGCTTTGCCAGTCTCGTACATAGTGCGGACATTCCATGTCCCCACACAGACTTTTTCTTTTGTCGCAAGGAGATTGCTCATGGTGAAGTTTCTGTAGCAGGTTTGTTTACAGGGTGGGGTTGCTGGCCTCACGCCTGAGTTTCGTCTTCGGGTACCTGAAATGGAAGAAAGGTTAGTGTTGCGTGACCGCAGAGCCCAGGGGACATCTGCTTGAGGCCGGTCACACGCGGCCTGGTGTGTCTCAGTAGTGTACTTATCACTTCTGCCCTGTGACACGGCAGCAGAAAGCGCGGTCGTTGTTAATCCGGGCCACGGCCGATCCGGCATGATATTTCTTGGATTTGTTGGGTTCATGGGTTTGGATTGATGAATGATGGCGACTAAGTCCAGGTCAAAATAATCCTGTCTGTCTGTTTTCGACATAGAATTTTGCACATATGTGCGGCTGTTCAAGTCGCCACACTCCCCACATGTAGCACACAAAGCAAGAGAAGAAAGTAGGAGAAATGCATATTAGAGACAGTAAACAGAGGTGTGAGACAAAGGAATTGTAATGACGAAGAACAAAACAGTTTCATTGGGAATCATAAGTCACAAGGAGTGGATGCATCTGCGCCAGCCAATGAGAACGATTTTGAGCCATATCACCAATTGTCTCCAGCCATTGGTTTTTACCATCCCGAGGACCCCAACCAGTCAGGAAGTCTACACCTCCTTAACTGGCTGGCTTAGACTAACTGTTGTAGATTTCATTGACTGGTGCCATGTTTTGGTTTGACCGCCGCTAGCTCTTTTCCAGCCTGACCCTATGTCAGCTAACATTGCCCATTGTCGAGGAAGGCGATGGCTAGGCATACGTAGCACATGTCCTAACCATCTCAGTCGATGTAATTTCACAGCCTCGTCGATTGATTTCCCCTCCTTACCTAGCACTCGACGCCTAACCTCAATATTGCTCACCTTATTATACCACTTCACGCGGGAGACAGAACGCAGACACCTATGATCGAATACAGCTAATCTTTTCATGTCTTCCACTCTCAATGGCCAGGTCTCACAGCTAGCCATAAAGTAGGACGGAGCGGACTGATGAGCAGCAGTAAAATAATCCTATTAAACAATGAATCTGACTGCATTTTATAAAACTCCAGACAGAGAATAATAATATTAGCTTTATTCTAGACACTGTTTTTATAGTGTACAGAATTCCCAACCAAATTTATTACTTAACACTTTCTCTTCATCCAACATCTTCAGGTAAAGTAGTCCCTGGTGATAGACTGCATGATGCAATTGAGTCTGACCTGAAGCGCAAACCAATCTCTTATGCTATTTCTTCTTGGTCTCCTTCTAGAGCTACACTACATTTGTTTGAAAGCCAATTAAAAAATACGTACAGTAGTACATTTTGAGACCCAAAAAAGGTACCTGAATAACTGAAGACTTCGACAAGGTTAGTTTTATTTCTCAGACAGTAGCAGTTTGTATTGAAAATCTCAGGAGAAATTATTTTGTGTATTGGCATACATTGCCACCCTCGATGTTGCTTTTCCTCATGTGGTACACATTTCCAGTACTCATGAAAGTAGGAAATACCACTAGAGATCATATTTTAACGAATTAAAACAAAGTAGACAAGAGAAATTTTATGAAATATCATGATGGAGGTTTCAGGTAGCTCAAGTTTTAATCAGACCACCTCATTTCCAGGAACTGACTTTTCATGAACCATACTTAAACATACCAGTTGCCTAAGCTGAAGAAAGTAGGACGTGACATGAACCCGTAATCCACCAACTGCAGACCTGGCTTTTCATTCACAAAGCCATATATTCACTGATAGTATATCGAGACACATTGTCTAAGCTGATTGTTAATTGTTCCTCCGGCTAATTAAAATTTCAGTTCATAAAACAGACAACTCAAAAGTTTGGTTTCACACAGCTCGATATGATTTCAGGATATATACAAGTACTTCTAATCAATATATATATATATATGCGCATTATATTAGAAGTTATTAGAGACCAACCTTTTGGGTACAGTAAGCGTCCTTTGTTGAAATACTATGCTGTACTGTAGATCTAGTAACATCACACACTAGGACCATGCGTGGAACCCAAAAAGGAAGTAACAAGTTAGACATTTGAGAGTGACATGGATATCATGTGAAAAGAAAATGAAATCTTATGGCCACTCATGGAGTCACCTAAGAAAGCTTGCAGAGGACAAAGGGGAATAATAATAATAATTTGCTTTATTCCAAAACAGTACTTGTGATACAGAATGGAATTTTCAGGATTTTTACTACAGTATTGCATCCAGTTAGTACATTATCAATAAATAGAATTCTACATAGATTAAGGAAATCTCAGTTCATTATGACAACAACATATTGGCATGTCGGTAGCAAAGCCAAAGTTGAACAGTGTTTGAAGGTGTTAGAAAAGTAGGTGCTATCATATTTACTGGCGTAAGCGAGAGAAAGAAACAAAGCAGCACATAACGGAAAAGAGAGAGAGAGAAAAAAAGAAAAGAAAGAAAGAAAACGTTGTACCAATAAATGATATGAGTTGGAAAGACGAGGTGCAGTTGTTCTACTGACTATTAAATAAGTTATAGGTATCACGCCTAATGCTTTCTCTATCGCACAGAACAAGAGCCAAGTAGGGTATGGTTGAGTTTTTGTACTTGCTGGTGCGAGCATATAGTTTTCTATATAGGCTTCTGGTTTTGCCTGATGAGATACAAGGGGAGAGTTGTGAGTGAAGAGGGTGGTGTGAGTTAGATAAAATGGATTTGGCCCATTTTTCACATGAGTCCATGTGCTTGTCGACCAGAATATTAACAAGCTGGTTAAGTGGCACATTGCTTACCCTGCTGACAACCTTTAACATCCTGCGTAATATGTTATAGTCTTTCTTCAGTAGCCCTGGAAAAACTAAGGGGGAACAGTAGAGAATAATTGGCAGAATGCGAGAGTTAACGAATTGTAGGAGTAAGGGTTGGGTTATTCCAGAATGTTTTAACTTCTTGATGTATAAGGTAAGACGGAATATTTTCTTAGAAATCGCCAAGATATGAGACGACCAGGAGAGATCAGCAGATAGAATGACACCTAGGTATTTAATTTCCGATTTGGTTTCTATTTCAGTGCCATCTATGTTGCATACCTCGTGAGAGCCAACCAGTTTGTTTAGGTTGGATTTATGCCTAAAGGTGAAATTGACTGTTTGGCATTTGGAGGGGTTTAGGGTAGGGCTGTTTTCCTTGGACCACTGGCTGATTTCTGACAGAAAGCCATTAAGTTTAGAGCAGTCACTGACATTTGACAGGCAAAGATACTGTCAGGTCGTCAGCATATTTGACAAAATTGATGTCATTTGAAGATGGTAAGTCATGTAGAAAGAAAAAGAAGAGAAGTGGGGAGAGTACAGCACCTTGGGGGACACCAGCGTCAGTGAGCACTGCAGAGGGGGATTTACCTTTGTATACGGTGTACTGCATTCTGTTAGAGAAATAGGAATGCAACCAGATTGTGACCCAGGACTCAGTTTTTGTCATAGAGAGCTTATTTAGCAAGAAACATCTAGGTACAGAGTCGAAAGCAGAAGGGAAGTCGAGAAACGTGCAGCGGACGTATTTGGCACCTTTATCTAATGATGAGACGATACTGTTGTGTAAGACGGCTGCAGCGTCTAAAGTGCCCCTACCCTGTCTATAGGTAAATTGTTTGGGGTCTTCAAAGTTTTTAAGGGAGGGTTCAAGTTTAAGAAGTACTAGTTTTTCCAAAAACTTTAGAAACGGGGAAGTAATGGCAGTGGGTCTGAACTTTACGTTCTTGCTATTTCCAGGTTTAGGGACAGGGACAATTTTAATGTCTTTCCATGCAACAGGTACGACATTTTTGGAGAAAGAAGCATTTAGGATGTTAGTTAGTGGAGAACATAAAGCATCTGCACGTTGTTTTAGAACATATGCAGGTATACCATCAGGGCCAAGGCTACGTGAGGGCTTGAGCGTTTTAAGACATTTTAGAACATCGAGGGCATTAAAGTCATGAAAGTTATCAGCTACATGATTGGAGGTGTCATAATGAAGCCCTTTATATTCCACTCGGGACCCAGGGGAACAATAACAATAATATAAGGAGACTGTTTATCTAAAATATATTTTTCAGATTTCATTTAAAATATACTTACAGGGAATATATAATCTAGTTCGTTCTTTTTTAAAATAAGCATGTTTTTTCAAAAGTTTACATTATTACTTCAATGACATTCACCACCTGATTGGTTACTGGTTAAAATTCATTTATAATACTCATTTCTCATTGGATAATTCAACTTTCGCGCCAACTTCTCGCAGTCTTTTGTTTAAATACATCAAAATACAAGGTGAAATAGGAGAAATTCACTTTTACACATTACACATTATGCTTAATCAATATAATTACGTTCCAATTCGAATATTAATTACTATTATTATCATTTTATTTTTTCTCTTATTTGCATTACATCCATTCAAATGGTTTTTAATTAGTCAACAAATGCAATTAACCCCTGGTAGTAGATTATATAATCAATGGTTACAGCCGACAATACCAATTCCAATGCAATTCTATTTTTTTAATCTAACCAATCCATTAGAATTTCAGTCGGGCGGAAAACCAATTTTACAACAATTAGGCCCATATACTTATCATGAGAAACGTTCCAAAGTTAATGTTAAGCATGATGCACAAAATGGAACACTTGAATACAATGAAATTAAACAATATTATTTTGATAAAACTGCATCTATCGGTGATGAAAATGACACAATAACAAGTGTTAATTTAGGCTTTATAGGTATTGCCTCAAAATTATCCTCAATGCCATGGATTATAGATGCTTTAATTGAAATTATTGAACATCATAATAATTATAGCTTGTTTCAGACAAGAACAGTAAAAGAATTATTATGGGGTTATAAAGATGACTTTTTAACGCTATTATCAAATTATTCAATCAGTGTTCCAATGACAGAAATCGGTATATTAATCAATAAGAATAATACACTAAGTGATACTATCCTGATAAATAATGGTGTTAAGAATCAAAATATGTTGGGGAAAATTATTGATTTTCATGGGATGCAAATATTACCTTATTGGAAATCGTTAACAGCGAATATGATCAATGGTTCGGATGGTACATTGTTTCATCCATTTATACAAAAACATGAGAAACTTTATGCATTTGCCAAGGAGATATGTCGTTCAGTAGAATTTGTCTTTGATTCAGAGACTGAAACCAATAATTTACCAGCTTATAAATATACTCTATCAGAGGATACATTCAAGTCAGCGAAGACATGTGAAGCGAATAAAGGATTTTGTTTAAATTGGCCTAACTGTTTCAATGATGGTGTTTTAGATATGTCAACATGTCAACCTAATGCACCGGTGGTTGTTTCACAGGCGCACTTTTTCAATGTACGTCAAAAGAATCTTTAAATATGAATTATTTTTTGTGATATTATTGTAGTTTGTGCTGAGTAAGATAGTGCCGTCATTTATTTCTTTGAGTTCTCATCAGCTGCGTACAGCCCAAAAAATTACTAAGTTTATATGTAGAATAGTGTAGCGGTAAATAATTCCCCAAAATTATTGACCATAGCACACATCACTGAACATTTAAGTCGACTTGTTTAGCTGAAGGCTTCAGGTCAAGCATCCCCTCCATTTGGTACTCCGTCGTGTCACATTCGTGCACGATCACCAGCCAGTTAAGCATTCATCTCGGTCTGCGATTTGGTCCCGAAATATATCTCGTACTTTGGACGATCAACTCTGGTCTTTTGTTTTGCCCTGGTCTACGAGGAACGAATACTAAAGAAGTTGTTGGTATTAGATCTTGCGTTAGTATACTCCGTACAATCCGCGAACGTCGATACCGTCAGCCCAACCGCGAACTTCATCTTTGGTAAATACACAGACAAATCCGGTGAGTTCGTTCCATTTTGTATTTGTTCCTGTACTGTTTTTAAACTTTATATATTCCACCATGAGTGATCCTAGTCCTAAGGTCATTCGTATTCGCTCAACTGCCAAAACCATTCAGCTCGTACCATTTTGGCCAGATAATGCTGAAACGTGATTTCAGATGGCTGAGTCTGAGTTTTGTGAGCATGGGATAACTGATCAACGTTCACAGTTCCTTGCATTTATTCATGCCCTAACGAGGGAATTCAGCAAGTGCTTAACTGTGCAGATGTCGAGTCCAGAGGTAAGTAACTCATACGAGTTGCTCAAAGCATCCCTCCTCAGGAGAAACGTTCTCACGGATCGACAATGTCTGGAAGAATTATTTCGTAACATCGAGTTAGGGGATCAGCCAGCGGTGAGCATGCTGACAAGAATGAGAGAAGTTATTGGCTAACGTCAGTTTGACGAAGGACTTTTCAGAGAACTCTTCTAATCCAAACTGCCACAGTCAGTACAGACTGTACTTGTACTGTTTCTGCAGATAAAATTCTAGAAAAAACCAAACGGCCAATTACTGAAATATGCTCAGTTGCCAAACAGACTTCGAGTAAGGATACTGCAGTGATAGAGTTATGCAACTCCATCCAGCAGATGCTTAGGCCAAACATGCCTTGTAATTCCTCCTATCGTCGTCCGAAGTCCCCTCAACGGTGAAACTCACGTGGTCGATCTAAGTCCAAGGCGCGTTCACTAGAAAACCCTGACTGGTGCTGGTATCACAACACCTACGGCCAGGAAGCAAAATGTTGCCGAAAACAGTTTTAACATAGTTACAAATGTTACTTGATATCAGTCGACAGGAGACTCTTAACTCTGGAATTACAGAAATTACAAACGGTTCAAGCTTAAACGAGAAAGGTAGAGGTTTGTGCGAGAGGTGATTATGATGAAACAATTATCAGGCATCTCATCGACAAGTATCATGAGGTGACTACCATGAAATCCTTTAAAATTACCATTAGACAGAATAGTTCAGTTCCTCTCAAGTTTAGCGAAGCAATCTCTACCAGACGCCTTCAACCTGATTTACGTATTCACTCCTTGTTATAGTGAGTGGATGCCTGTACTCCCTCTCTCCCTCTCTCTCTCACTCGATTACGCAATCTCTGACTTTAACCTCTTCGCCTCCCTCTATAGAGTAACTTTGTCTGTCTTTTGTTTCCACGATAAGAGTTGAACTCACCACGTTGTTACTCACTTTATAGGATACACACAATCTTACTCATTATTTCTCCCTATTACGTAACTCTTTGACCATTTTATCCAAGCCTTTATTTCTCCGTTTAAACTTGAATCTTCTGAACACTGTTTTAATAAGTTTAGAGTCTATCTCCCTTAACATTTGGAGGTATGTTAAAACTGTTCTGTACATAAACTTAATAATTTCTTTAGGCTGTATGTAGATGATGAGAAGCCGACGCAATGAATGATGATATCATTTGATTCCTCACGAACAGCTCTTCTTGTTTTGTATCCTCTAAGCTTTGACATCTGATCACAGAAGTTTTATCATCCTAATTGATATCATCAGAAATAACTTCAAAATGTCGTGCCAGTTGAAGTATTCTTTGAGTCCTAGTGAGTATGTAATTTACATTTGAATATATTTAAATTCAGTGGAAGTCTAGTGGTTATATGGCGCTGTATTATTTGTGAGTAAAGAGATACTCAAAAGTTATACTGACTGGTCATTGGATAATGCTTTAACCCTGCAGGAGGTCAGTCATAGGCCAGAAAGTTTCAGCTGCAATGTCGATGACAATAGCACTAGGTGACGTACGTTTGAATCTCAATAGAGGAGTCTGTCTTTTGAAGGCTACTTATGCGGATTTTGTCCAGTGTGAATGAGCAGGAAACCTGGATTCAAGGTTTTATGGCAACTGCTCGCCCCCTGCCCCCAACTATCGGACAGATGTTATATTGTTTATGCAGTTGGCTTAACTTATTATTCCCTTGGGTCTCGAATAGGACATAGGGCTTCAACAACACCTCTCCACTTTGTTCCATTTTCTACCGTCCTCTTCAACTAGGCCTACGACTGATCGTAATCTCTCATTTCCTCCTAGCATGATCTTCTCCATGTTATCCTCGCACTCACCACCCACTCGTCGTCGCTGCCCACTGGGATACCATTCAAGCGATGGCCTGTGTTGAGCATGATGTCATTCGATGGTCTCTTCAACGTATGCACGATCCATCTCCATTTTCTCCTGGATACTTGCTGAGTAACAGGTCCTTGATTAGGTCGTCCCTAGAGTTTTTTGTTGCTAATTCTTTCTGAGTGTCCATCTGACCTTCAATATGGAGCCAGTCAAGGTAGCTGTTGAAAAAAGTCTGCAACTTGTTGGAGATGCTTTTCGTGACATGCAGTGCAAGTTTCTTACCCGTATAGAAGCACTGACTGACTTCACATAGGTGTTGAAAATCCGAATCTTGTTCGTTATGGTGAGTGCGGAAGATTTCCAAACTGGTTTCACTTTGATGAAGGCGTATCTTGCCTTTCCGATTCTGACTTTGAGATCTTCGTCATGGGAAGTATCAGTTAACTAGAATAAATAACAACCGACATCTGCTGCACAAGAGGCGGCTTTCGTGGCCCATGTAACCAAGTGTATAAAGTGTTTAAAACGATGACTATAAAGTTCAAATCTCAGTGCGAACATCATCGCTCATTGAAGAGGCAAGTACATCCAGCTGACCAGTTTCAAATAGGATGGAATAGGCATCCACAAACGTATTCTGTAACACTGTGCAGCTTGACTAGCCAAAGGAGAAAAGAAGAATACTAGCAACTGCATCCTCGAACATTTTGTCAACTCTGGACATCCAGCAACCCCCACATGAATGCTTCACAGTGCTACACATAGTCCCTCAATATCTTTCGAAAGGACTTCGTGTATGCCTTCTGTACATAGGTGAATTATTGGCTATTCGGGATCTGAAACCGGACCTCTGCATTCAAAAGCACTATATACATTCACTCGCTCTACCGTGGCCAGAGTAGCGTTCTCACTATAATTCTGCTTCCTTTTATTATGCAATTTTACTATTATTGTTATTATTCTCATTATCCATATTTTATTATCACTCTACTACTGTTTATTAATAGCACTGCGTTTTTATACAGATTCTGTAAAAACACTTTATTGTCTTTCCACTAGTTCCTGTCCATTCTATACAATCATATTGATTGGCCATTTTATCACACTCATTACGTCATACCAACTTCTTCCCCCTAATCCTAATTTTCAATTAGTCATCCCTTCTAGATTACGCCTTACGTTTTCGGGAACAAATTTTACCAGGATCCAGTTGATCTTATCAGTTCTTTATTAAATATAATTACGATTGTACAGCCTTTATGAAAATGACTCCTCGACAAGAAAATTCTCTTCTCTGTTACGTCTTTTTCTTATGACTCAATATGGGAGTTTGTTCATTGTACTGTTAGTCACCATCAACGAAAAATAACACCATGTTGATCACCAGACATCCTTCAAGTGTCTGTAATAAAAGATAATATGTGAGCAGGGATAAAATATTTTGGTCCAGTATTTGGGAAATACAAAATAACTTGATCAAATAATGTCAACTGGTGTGAAAAAATATCTCCAGACAGTTCCACTTGACTGAGTATTAATGTTTGTTGGCAGTCGTCATCAAAATGTCTTTAAAATCTAAACACAACTGATGCCTTCTTATAGATGTGAAGCAGTCTAGTTAAGTGATGAAATCGGAAGCATTACCAGGGAGTTATTTAGACCTTTATCAACCCCACGAGGGTTCAGTTTTTCTTATGTAAAGAAGACAGCTATGCCACTTCAGACCTCTGAAATCCTCGACGGGCAATGTTAGCTGACATATGGTCAGGCTGGAAAAGAGCTAGCGGCTGTCAAACCAAAACATGGCACCAGTCAATGAAATCCACAACAATTAGTTTAAGCCATGTAGCCTGGTTGGGGTCCTTGGGACGGTAAAAACCAATGGTTGGAGACAGTTGGTGATATGGCTTAAAGGGATCGTTCTCAATGGCTGGTGCAGATGTATCCACTCCATGTGACTTATAATTTCCAACAAAACTATATTGTTCTCCGATATTACTATTTTTTGCCTCATATCTCTGTTTACTCTCTCTATTTTGCATTTCCTTTTACTTTCTTCTTTTGCTTTGTGTGCTACATGGAGTGTGGTAACTTGAACTGCTGCACATCTGTGGAAAGTTTTATGCTGAAAACAGACAGACAAACAGACCAGACCATCTAGAGCGTATCGTTGACGAGTTTCTATTTAAGGACAAAATAGCTTTCTTAATTTCTGGGAGATGATATCTGATCTAGATTGTAGATTAATTTATTCTAGGGTATGAAGTAAACATGTAGATAAATCATTATTATTATTATTCCCATCGATTCCATGTTGAATATAGAGTATGTCATTTCATCTTTTTC